TCCGTATAGAAGAACTGACTGACTTGACGTTTGTATTGAAAATCCGTCCGAATTTTGTTGTTGATGCTGATTGACGAAGATTTCCAGATTAGTTTTAGGTTGATGAATGTGCTTTTCGCCTTCTCGATTCGACGTCGTCGTCCATTCCTCCTGTAGTTGAGACAATGCTCCCTAGATAAGTGAATGAAGTAATCTCTTTCAATTCCCTCCCGTTGATGGTGATTGGCGCTGGATGTTGCTGCTGTTGGTTGGTTGGCTACTTTCATAACCTCCGTCTTGTCTATGTTCACCTGGAGTCCTGTCTTCGACCAGTTTGTCGGCTTTTGCTTGTAAGTCTTCGATTTTGTGTGACATCAAGCATAAATCACCTGCGCGGGAAATCCAGGTCTTCTAGGTTCTTCACGCCAGTCCAGGATATCCCTGACTGCTCGTTTCCCACTCACTGTCTGACGCATAATCCAGTCCACCACAATTAGGAATATCACTGGTGATAATAAACCAGCACCCTTGTCTGACTCCTGTGTTTACTCCAAACGCCTCGCTGAGTTTTCCGTTGTGGATCACTTGACATGTCGTTGTCGTACAGCTGTTGAATAAGGTTGATGAATATTTGGGGTACGCCGTAGTACTCGAGTAGTTTCCAAATTACTTCATGGTCAACGCTGTCAAAGGCCTTCCGAAGTCTATAAAGTTGTGGTAGAGGTTTGGTGCTATTCCATGCTTTGTTCTGTGATGATGATGCGTAGAGTTGCAATTTGGTCAGAGCATGATTTGCCTTTCCTGAATCCAGCTTGTTCTGGTCGGAGTTCTGTATCCAGTTAGTCTTTGATTCTCTCCAGGATGATGCGACTCAGGATCTTACTTGGTGTCGACAGGAGCATGATTCCTCGCCGGTTCTTGCAGAGTCCTAAGTCGCCCTTCTTCGGTAGTTTCACAAGGCAGCTTTTCTTTCAGTCAGTAGGCACCTTTCCTTCCGTCCAGACCTTTTGCAATAATGGAGTCAGCATGTCTGCTGTCGTCTCTGGGTCCGCTTTTAGTGCTTCAGGGGGTATTTCATCTGGTCCAGCCGCTTTTCCAGCTTTCAGAAGCTTGATTGCACTCAAGACTTCAGCTATCGTTGGAGGATTGGTGTCAACTTGCAGTTGTGTACGTGCTGTTGTTGGTATTTCTGGACGGGTTGCAGATGGTAGTCGGTTCAAGAGTCCTTTGAAGTGATGCACCCATTGTTGAATCTGTCTTTCTTCCTTGGTAATTCGATTCCTTGGCTGTCGTTTATAGGTTTCACTTGTGTTGATCTCTTCCCGGATAGAGACTTGGTTATGTGATATAATGTCCTCAGTTCCCTTTTGCCTGCTGCCTTCTCAGCTTCAGTGGCCAGGTTGTTGTAGAATTATCTTTTGTCCTTCCTAGCATTCTTCTTCCCTTCTTTGTCCAGTGCTGTGTAAGCTGAAGTCAGCGTCTCCTTCTCCTGTCCGTCTTTGCATTAAATCATTTTCTGTTTCCCCATTCTCCTCTCTTCTATTAGCTTCCAAGTGTCCGTTGAGAGCGATTCCTTGATTTGTCTCTTCTTTCTTCCTAAAACCGTTGAACATGTTTCGTTGAAAATCACATTCAGAGAATTCCAGTGGTCCTCCACCTATAATTATTCAGTGATGTCAGGTAGTTCTTCCTCCTTTGCACTGTAATGGCACATGTTCTGTCCCTTGTACTAGTGGTCTGAAACCACATCTGCTACTCTCCTAGCTCTTGTGTCCAGTACCCCACGTCTGCACCTCCATGAGATTGAAATGAAGTCCATCTGGATTTTGGTATGTTAATCTGGTGAAACCCATGTCGTATTATGCATACTCTTGTGTTCAATTCGCGGTACAACATTCCTACTGTTATGTTTGGGCTGTCTCTTCTTTCCATCACTTTCACATTTCTCATATATTTATTCTTTTAACTGAGATCGTGTTCCGTCTATGTCATTCAGAGTATTCTCCGCCAGTACGGTAATATCCACTATCCCCATTTCTATTCAATTTCATCATTGATGTACTAACGGACTTAACCCTAACTCACTTCAGCGACTCACGGATTGACTTGCTACCAGGGAATAATCTCGTTGACTTAGAATATGCAAACGATATAGTCCTTCTAGGTGAGGACGCTCACAAAATGCAGTCTTTTGAACACCTCTAGTTGCAATCTACGAATGTTTGGCATGCGATTCACTCCCGCCAAATGCAAGATGATGTTACAGAACTGGACAACACCGACGCCCAGTTTAAAAATAGGAAGTGAAGTGGTAGAGCACGTTGACCGCTTCACTTATTTGGGAAGTACCATCAGCCCCAACGGGTTGATCTCCAATGAAATCTCAGCACGTATCCAGAAGGCTTGTTTCGCATATGCCAGTTTACGCCGTCTCTGGCGTAGACGTGATACCCGGAGATCGACGGGTGTACTGCTCAGCAGCCCGTTCCATCCTCTTTTATGGCTGTGAGACATGCTGGCCATTGAAAGTGGGAGACATGAAAAGGCTGGTTAGCTTTCTTTGATCATAGGTGTCTGCGCTCTATCTCCCGTGTTAAGTGGTAAGATAAGGTGAGCAATATTGAGGTAAGGCATCGATTGCTAGGTAAGGAGGGGAAACCAATCGACAAGGCTGTGAAGTTACACCGATCGAGATGGTTAAGATATGTGTTACGTAGGCCTAATCATCGCCTTCCTTGACGGGCAATGTTAGCTGATATAAGGTCAGGTTGGAAAAAAGCTAGCGGCTGTCAAACGAAAACATGGTACCAGTCAATGAAATATACAACAGTTAGTTTAAGCCAGTCACGTAGTAAGGTGTAGACTTTCTGGTTGGGGTCCTCAGGACGGTAAAAACCAATAGTTGGAAAAAAATGGTTACGTGGCTTAAAATCGTTCTCAATGGCGTAGATGCATCCACTCCTTATGACCTATGATTTCCAATGAAACTACATTGTTCTTCGTTACTTCTATTTCTTTGTCTCACACCTCTGTTTACTGTCTTTATTATGCATTTCTTCTACCTTTTTCTCTTGCTTTGTGTGCTACATGGAGTGTGGTGACTTGAACTGCCGCACGTCGGTGCAAAGTTCTATGTCGAAAACAGACAGACAGTACGGTAATGAAACACATTTATCCTAACACCATTATTCCAACCAACACCTGCTGCCTATAGCTTCAATAGTTTGATGCAAATCGGACAAAAAATGAACTCGGTAAAATCCCTAGAAATGTTAATTCTTAATCTTGATTAGACATAAGTAACTGGTGTGATGTGTCTAGTCCTTTCTTTGGTGTAGACTGAATTCTATCAGTCACGTTTGCAATGTGGCCACCATCCTAGGTAGCTCGCCATCACGGTGCACATTGATTTGATGATATTAGATGGTTGGAAACAATAGGCAGGAAGCCTTGGACCTAGGATTTGTGCTAGTTGACATTCGTCAGCAGGGCGTATCTGCAACCTTGAAGGAACTCATGTCCCTTCTGAGATTCGAACCCGCACCGCCCAGTGCTGCAGTCAGGGACGTTACCACTGAGCTCGTGATTGACCTCCTGTAAGAATGTAGTAGATACTTTGATTGGACACTAGTTAATTATTAATATTTGCTGTATATCAATGAACTGTCTACCTGATTCCATTTAAGTGATAAAATACTTCCTACGTATATCATCTCCAAGAGTGTTTTATTTCAGAGATTAGGCATTAATCAGAGTCCACCTTAGTGTCAGCATCTTATTAAGCAATAAAGTAGAAACTGCATTATTCAACTGAATCCCCCTTAATCATTGCTTGTGTGCTGTTTTTTCCTCATATTCGCCTACGTATAGTTGGAGTGAAGCCCGAACGAGTTCTGCTTCAAGATAAGTTCTCATTTCCAAGTGAACCAAACGCTTACCGTAGTGCTAGCTGGATGATTGTTTACACTGTCAATGGACGCTAGCTAATAGCAGATTAAATAATGGGGATTATTTTTTGCAGTGCAGAACAAACTCAGTAGCTGGTTGGCGGAACAGCCTCAAACAACTGTAATTAGTTTTGTTGTCAAGTGTAACTGGTGCCGTTTCCTGTAGTCACCAGACAATCAAACCCTCACAGTTAGTGGTCACAAGGAATAACCAACCACAAGCTCCCCTAAGCACATGAAGTACTTGTGCTCATAAGATCATCTTTCTGCTTCCTCTTCGTCATTTCCTCTCTTAAGTGATAACGACTTGAGTCACAAGAACACTGTCCTTATTCTTTTAGGACTAAACTAACAACTTCATACTAGAGATTCCGATGTCTAGATCCTTGTACACAACTTGATAGCAAGTCTCAACAGGCAGAACTCCAGCACCTCATGGTTTCGATGTGGGTTGTATCTCTGAAATGCACACAAAAACACAGGTTTGATGACCGACTTATTCCTATTCAAGAAACAGAATGCATCCGAAAAATTCAATCCACAAATGTCAGAAAACGTGTTGGTGTGTTGTCAGAGGCCTAATGACGTAGGGATAGCATTGAGCTCCAGGATAGAAAAATCAATACTTAGTTGTTTTCAAATGGGCAGCCGTTTGTCTGTGGTCCGGCGTAATGGGTTCAGAAGAATGAGTCAGAATCCAGTAACTCCGAAGATTACTCATGTACTAAACCGTGAGTCATATTTATTGGGTGACAGCTAATGGTACTACTGTCACTCAGGCTGAAGTAGGTGGAGGTCCTGAATGTGGCAGTCGCAGTCCAGAAACGATAACTTAAGCTAAAGAGCGATACCTTTATACTTGACAATAAGGAAGGATAGTGATGCTCACCGATATCTGTTCGTTATGTCCACTTAGGCAACAACAGTTCGGATGATGTAAAGGATCTCTCAGTTTGCTGGTAAAAAGCCAAAATTGCAGAAACAGTTATCCTAACAGTTGACCTTCACGCTTTGAGTAGCACAGTTAAGCTAGACCGAAAATTGTATTCCAGGTGTCTATGGAGTCGCGTGCTGACGAACCGACTACGATGAGCGTCTTTTACAATTTTGTTTTTGTTCAATAATTTCAAAAAACAAGAGGAGTGTTGGTTTGTAGGGACTTAGTTGATTTCGCCAAATGATTTCACTTCGTGATGGAATGCGGTTCGAAATAAGGATTTGGAATTGTTTTTAGTTTCAGGGATTAAAACTAATTCCACGAATTGATGAGATCATGGGCAGAAATCCTACTCAAAATGTTACCAAAATCAGAAACTTATCATTGTGTGAAAACAACCGTTGAAATAATAATCGTAACCGACTGCCACACTTACTAGTATCATGGTAAACAATTAACACGACACGTGCTTCATTGCAAGGTGCACACATGTACATGTGGTCAGAGGATAGCATTCCGTGTAGTTAACACAATGAATATCATAGACGCGAAATACTTACTTTTCGATATAACTTTAACAGAATTCCTCCATCTTCCCATCTTCCTAACTGCTCTGTTCTTAGGAGTAAAGTTCGCAGACGAAGAAAATCCTTGTCCAGCTGCCTAACCAGCGTTGCTTCTTGGCCTGTCTGAATCTGACTGCAAGTGCACACTACATGTGAATAAATTACACGGTGCCTTTAAAAATGAAGTTAACGAGTAAACGCACATGTTCTGGGCATACTCCCGCTGAATAGACTTTTTGTGTTCATTACATTCCACAATTTTATGTTCTTTACTTTCACCAATATATTTTTTCACTTTTCTCAACAGTTTGACTGGCTGGCTGTATAATAAATGAGTATTAGCATTGTAAGACATGAATACATTTAATTACCGTTTTGACAAAATATCAGCTTTGTACGGAGCCTTCATATGTGCAGGGATATACTTTTTCTGTTTTACTACAGTCGTATTAATCTCCCTCTGAGTTTTACTTTCACAGGTGGTTCTTCTGCGCTCTGACTTCGACATGGACTTCTCAGATTCTAACAAGGCGACAGATTTCCCTTGAGTTTGCGGTAAAAGAGTTATGTGTGCTTTACTCAGAACATCTTCTACTTCCTTCATAAGTGAACTTTCCAAATCTTCGTTCAACATTTTATTGGTTTCATGGATGAAAGCGTGGATACTTTCATCATTACAGTTACATTTATTTTTGCTGCGAATCAATCAGAAGGAATGCCATTACTATTACTTACACATCTAAACGTGAATAAAGCTGCAGAAATTTGTAGATGTTACGTATTTGTTGCTGACAACTACCACACTTTAATTGAATACGTCGACCAATATTCGTATGATTAGTGCGACCACATGTCTGTGGACATCTCATCTGCTCTTTCAGATTATGATACAGAAAACTAGGTTCAAATACACACAGAGATCTTGTGAATTTCGCATGAGACCATCTCCCTGCCAAACAACAAACTTAGCAGTCCGACCGACGACCTTGAAAATACAAACATTTACTACAAAAAGAAAACAATACAAAGAGCCAATATGGAATCAAATGTGCTTGTGAAAAGATGGCATTAAACCCCTAGGTCCATGGCCGTATCGAAACTGTTCTACATTTCCACCATATTAGACGTCATCTGTTCTGTCTTTTCGACTACCGTACGTTCACTGGGGGCGTTAAGAAAGAGAAAGGTACCACGAGAGTGAAGCCGCTTAGAATTAGGAGCAATCTTCGTGATAGAATCTTCCAGGAAGGCTGACAAATTTGTGAAGAGATATGCAGGGAAACTATTTGTCTGCATTTCAGACTTATTGAGGCTACAGCCTAATTGCATAATTTCAACGGGTTAGTATCGACTGAGATAATTTATTCGCAGTCGGTTCTTGGTAGTGTGGTAATGCTTATGACCACAACACAGATGCGATTGTCACTAGTCCAACATACAGTATCGTCTATACGATCAAGCGTATACCAGTTGTAAATGTAGTTGAAGATTGAACGATCAATTCATGGTTGTTTGCTCAAAACCAACTTCCCCAATTTTCGCGGAGGCATCAATACGACAGTCACCGTCTCATCGGTCGCTGTTCAGAGAGAAGTCAGCAGAAAACCGTCAGAAGTAATATTGTGATTTATTATTGTAATGTTTGTTCACAGACCTTAGTTATACATTATTTATATGTTGGTGTAACAATAAAGAATCCTCGAGTCAACAATTGGTGTTTTGGTTTTGTTCGTCCGTTATTACTAATCGTTTCTGAGAAACTTCAAGGAAGAGCGTGAGCCTGAGCGTAGAGAGAGCTGGGCATTAACGGTTTACAAGACGTGGCTGACAATTTCTGACGATAGAAACAGATTCTGGCGGATTCAAACAGTTGGTGAAAGTTTGGACAGTCGCCGTTCATTTTTCCTGGTGCCGGTCAAGTCCTCTTTGAACACACAATATCTGGAACGTTTTCGGAATTGGGTCAAGTTCAACAATGCCTGGGTCAAAGAAGGGACAGAGTGTCTTGGATGCAAACAGGAAAGTAAGTCATGGTGACTTGTCTGTTAATTGTAACGATGTGTCTGATGTTAAGCATGACATGGTTGATGTTACTGTTTCGCCGTTCAGGGATAATAGGAATATCAAACTCCCTAAATTTGAACCACGGTGTTTTGATGGAAACCCGGCCGATTATTTACAATTTGTAAAAGAGTTTGAGATCATGCTGAGTGGTTTTTTATTAAATGATGAATTGAAGTTAATGTATTTGATGAGAAAATGCACTGGAGATGCTTCAAGAGGTATACAGTGCTGTAAGTTTATGAAGCGAAAAGAGGGATACTACGAGGGTATGAGCATATTACGTCAAAGGTTTGGAAGATCTTCTGTCAATGTAGTTGAAGATTGAACGATCAATTCATAGTTGTTTGCTCAAAATCAACTTCCCCAATTTTCGCGGAGGCATCAATACGACAGTCATCGTCCCATCGGTCGCTGTTCAGAAAGAAGAGTGAAACATCGTAAGAAGTAACAATGATTTATTGTTGTAATATTAGTTTTCAGACCTTAGTTGCTTAGTTCGTTTATTCCTTGTATATGTTGGTGTAACAATAAAGAAATAACAAGCAGCAGATCGGTGTTTTGGTTTTTGCGTCCGTTATTACTAAGCGTTTCTTAAAGTCAAAGGAACAGCGTGGGCCCGAGCGTAGCGAGAGCTGGGCATTAACGGTTTATGAGACGAGACTTGATAGACAGTTTCTGACGATAGAAACAGATCTGGCGGATTCAAACAGTTGGTGAAAGTTTGGACAGTCGCCGTTCATTTTTCCTGGTGCCGGTCAAGTCCTCTTTGAACACACAATATCTGGAACGTTTTCGGAATTGGGTCAAGTTCAACAATGCCTGGGTCAAAGAAGGGACAGAGTGTCTTGGATGCAAACAGGAAAGTAAGTCATGGTGACTTGTCTGTTAATTGTAACGATGTGTCTGATGTTAAGCATGACATGGTTGATGTTACTGTTTCGCCGTTCAGGGATAATAGGAACATCAAACTCCCTAAATTAGAACCACGATGTTTTGATGGAAACCCGGCCGATTATTTACAATTTGTAAAGGAGTTTGAGATTATGTTGAGTGGATTTTATTTGAATGCTTAATTGAAGTTAATGTATTTGATGAGATATTGCACTGGAGATGCTTCAAGAGCTATACAGTGTTGTAAGTTTATGAAGCCAAACGAGGGCTATGATGAGGCTATGAGCATATTACATCAAAGCTTTGGAAGACCTTCGATGATTGCAGGGAAATTATTCGAGGCTGTTAAGGGAAATGGTGGTCAATTACAGGATGACCCTCAGGCACTCACTGAGTTTTTAGATAATTTGCTAATTTACAAGAATGGAATGATTTCGATGAATCGAATGAGTGACCTCAACTCGAGTTTTATACTAGAAGTAATCACATGACGCCTACCTATTCGACTGCAAAGGAAGTGGGTGAAGATATGCTCCCGTATGGAGGATGAGGGTATCGAGCCAAAGTTTGATGATATCCTGAAACTGGTAAATACTAGTGTCAATCAATCGATGAGCAAGTTCGCCAGTATATTGAATCTCACCCGTAGAATAGAGCAGTCTGATAACGAAATGCAATCATTGATGACGAGTAGGCCTCAGAGAGGTGGATATCGAGAAGACTCCATGATGTCTAGTAATGCATATAAACTAAGTAAGTGCAACAGGTTTCGTAGTACATCCTCAACAGGTAAGTTACAAGATGCAAGACAAACATGGTTGTGTTTTACACGTTTGGAAGAGGTGCATACAAAGCTGAGCTGTAAACCAGTAAGCAAGTTCAGTGATAAGCTAAACGTAAACTCCAGGTCTGACTCCGAATTGTGTGACGATAACGTTGTTGTGAATAAGTCTGTAGTTGCAACTGGTAAGCCATTGTTGAATAGAGTGTCACAGAATAGAGTTGCTGCTTCAGAGTGCAGTTCTGACTCCAAAACTTTACAAAGTATAACTAGTCAGAGTGAAGTTATAAAACCTTTAATGATTTTTGAGGAGGAACCAAAATTGTCTACTTCTGTTATTAAAGAGTTTGAAAATGATGAACTTGACGGTAAATTGAATATTTGTGGTAATGATCATGATAGTGCAGATTTGTCTTTGGTTGATCATGATGAAATGGGGGGAATGCCTACTACCGCCAAGTTAAATAAAGGTTCTGTACAACTTGAACGTGAAGTAGAATTAAATGCAGATGCAGTTGCAGAAGGCATGCATACTTTTCAAACCGTCAGTGTAATTGATCAGAGTGAAGCCCACCTATCATCAGATGCTAGTCCTAAAGCGGAGCTGAGAGTAAAAGACAGCAGTGGTGGTGGTCTTGCAGGTAGACAAATTTCTGAAAGCCGAGCAACAACAGCCTTTGATCCACTGCTAAGTTCATCAACTGATATCAATCAGTCGTCGTTGGTGCTGTCATCCACAATGAAACAGTCACCCATCAACTCAATTATCTACTGCAATGACTATGATAGTATTGGTACATTTGAAAGGACGAAAGATATTGCTCAGTTTAGAGAGGATAAGCCAAGTGTAAACGAAAGAGTAATTGTTAAATTGACTTGCATGAATAAAGGCATTTCTTGTTTCAAGTCACTATTTGAATGTTATTATCTTTGGTGTAAATTACTCTGTGCCTACGCTTGGTTGATGAGATATGTCGTGTGTTTGTTCGTCATCCATGTTCTACGATACAATGACATGAGCGTGTTACCGTTCAGATTTGAGGATATAGCTGATAGAGGGAAGTCAGCAAATGAACTCTGCCACGATTTTCCAACCTAGGTGGCCAATTTGAGAAAGGTAGTAGGCGAACTGTTGTAAGTCCTACAGTTCTTCAAAGGGTAGCGCATCAATGAGCAATCCAATGTGCTTGGTGTGTGATTTTGTACATAAGTTCATATTGTATATACTGAATTGATATCATCTGTCATCCAGCTGTTGGTAATTCTGTTTGCATCCGGACGACTTCCACTTGGATCATCAACCTGAGAAGGAATGTAGGCGTACTGCTGTAAGTCCTACAGTTCTTCAAGGGTAGTTTGTCGTGCCAGAATCCACAACATTTGATGTGTTGATTGTACATATGTTTGTGTTAAATACTTGTGTGAGTTCTAATTATTGTAATTGTTGGTTAATCTTGTTTGTGTCCGGACATTCCACAACTTACACTCGTCAACCTGAGAAGGGTTGCAGGCGTACTGGTGTAAGTCCTGCGATTCTTCAAAGGAATTCCATCAAGATATGATCCACGAGTTTGTGTGTACTGTTTGTATATATGTGTGGTGTGTCATATAATTTGATGATTTTTGGATTCATTGTGTTTACTTGTTGTATTCGTACCTTGTTGTTATTGCGTAATTTTGTTAAAATTTTCGTCGTGATTACTTCTGAAGTTGTGTCCACTCTTCTACATCCGTGAATGAATTGATTGATGTTGAGGACAGCAGATGGGTCGTATACGCCGGGGAGGCTAGGCTATTTCTGAGAATGAAATGCACACAGAGATAATTGTTAGCTGCGGTCCGACACGCCGGGGAGAAAGAGTGTAAACTACTGAGGCTCGCGTTCGTCATCGCTGCTAGAATTGCGACAGAATGAGTGACAAGCGATTGCATTGGTTAGTAGTAGTGAGTAGATAATAGGAAATCCGTGGAGTATCATGAGGTCCTGCTATGGTCACGTTGCATTCTGCAAGAGTCATTCTAGCAAGTGGCGATTGTGTTGCAAGAGGATGCCTTTAACTGGAAGGCGCAGGTCGTCAGCGATGTGTGAGATTGTGCTGTGAGTATGCTTTTGGTGTGTTGGCTTTTCTGTTTGTTTTCCATTTCAGCTCTGTCCGTGTGACCCAGGTTCTCGCAATGTCATCCAAGTCAACGTGTATTGGTCGTGAAGGGAAAAAGGGTTGGATCCCTTTTTTGCCGGGGAGTGTCGATGGAGTTGAAGATTGAACGATCAATTCAGGGTTGTTTGCTCAA